AATTTCTTTTCGGAAAAGGGGGGCGCTGAGTAATTTTTTTTCTGAAAAGGGGGCGGTAGGCCAAATAAGTTTGGGAACCTCTGACCTAGACAAACATTCAAGCTTCAGAATGTAAGCCATTCTCTGACTACAGAGAGGAGGAGGAGGATGGAGAAGTGAAATCTTCCTATATGCATGTTGCTGCATAATTTAGTATTGAGAAGGGTTCACATATTCCACTGAAGGAGGCAGGATGTAGGACTCCTGTACTTCATCTAACACTTTAATTCATAATGGCAGTTAGTCCTCTTGTTGCAAGAACAGTGCCCAACAAGCCTTTATCTGTTCATACAAATAGTGCGGTGGCAGAGAAATGGAACAGCTTTTGTGCTGCTGTTCAGCAAGAAAAGCAAGTTGGTTACCTGGGGCCAAAGAGGTGTGGAATCCCTGCTCATGTTGTGTGTACATATCATAGGGCAGAAGGAACTCTGCCTTAAATACACCAGTGACTGGTTCATCATCTTGCACTATCTATTTCATAATCCCCAGTGTGATACCAAGAGTTCAAATGTAAATGATTTTCAATTAGAAAGTAATCATCTTAGAAAGTGATGCATAAAGCATATTAAAAAGTCAGACTGTCCGTGACCAAATTATCCAAGGATAAGTGGCCACCTCCTGGACTTCTCCCTAGAATTCAATGTAGTTGATAATGGAATAATACTACACTTACCAATCTAGGGGATGGTGGGCTCAAGGAAAGGCTTTCTAAAATGGCTTGAACCCTTCCTTGTGGTTGACTTCAAGAATTCAAATGTCATTAATATACAGATATACACAGCTATCTGTCGTTCACAGCTGATAACCACAGTTGCCCACTTACTCTAGCATTTGGCTGAGATCAGCACATAAATGAGGTAGAGTAGTCTGAAATTAAACTCCAGCAAGACAGAAGTGGACAGAGGGAAACACTTCAAAAAGTTTGCTTTTTCTAGCTCAGTCCGCTCTATTCCAGGAGACATACTCACATATCATCAAGCCAGTCCACGATTTGGGAGTTTTGCTGGGCATCTGAGTAATTTTATTATCACTCTCCATCCTTGTTAAACTCAAGGTCTGGTTTCTTCTTTCCAAAGCACTGAATGGCCTGTCCTTGGGATACTGCCTCTCCTCTTGGGACCTCAACCTCTGTGAAGTCATTGCTTTTCTAGAACATTTGAATGCTGGAGCAATGGGAAGCATTGTGGAATTACCACAAGGGCAAAGCTTGTCTGCAGAGGGAGTGGCGCTTTCTCTGAGGTGTGCCTGAAACTGGAATGTTGCTCTCCCACAGGAACTCATACATACCCCAAACCTCAATATGCTGTGGAATGTGAAATGCACTTTTTACCTTGCCTTCCTTAAGAATTACACAAAGACACAAATTTATGTGCTGCCAATAATCTTCATGTGTGATGTTTTTTTCTCGGGGGGGTAGGGAGGTGCATGGTGAAGAAACAGTGTGAGAAATGTTGGCCACCTTCTTTAATTCGGTTCTGCAAGGTGCTCATATTATAGTGTGGGGCACAGTATGAAAATTTAAGTAGAACCAACTGTGTTATGGATTTCTGTGAACTTGCCCACACAGAAGGGAGTTGCTGTGGTGGTTTGTATTTCAGATCTTTCTTAAGGACTATATCCCCCACAGTGTATTGGCAGCTGGCTGTGCTCTGGATCCTAGCTCTGCAGCAAGCTAACCTTTCTGCTCCAGACTAAAAATAACTCTGAGGCGGTGCAGAGCTGTGCAAAGGAATGGAATGGGTGATCTTTCCTCTGCCTATTCAATCTATCCCCCTTGCCCCCAAGAATAGAGCTGTACTAAGACCCTGCATGGAGCCTTGGTGGATTGGCTGTAGCCCAGATTAAGGTGTCAATTTAAAGGATAGGGCAAAAATAAATCTGTGATTGAGGAATTTTGGCAGGCTATTCCTTTCCTTGATTGCCATTTTAGCTGGGATGGTTCCTTTTAGGCTAATAGTTCTTGCCTCTGCCTCCCTGTGCTTCAGAATACTGGTGCTGCTATTCAAGGGGATCCACTGTCCTTGCAGCTTGACCTTTGCTTAAAGGTTTCCCTTGAGTTTCATTGCCAGTCTCACAAGACAATGAGAGGAGCATGGCACCTTAAGCAGAAAGTGCACCCCTCCGAGTATCCTCTTGATTTTAATTGACATAAAATGCCTGTAAGCAGCATTAAATGGCTGATATGCTGCAAGAAGGAGTATGTGCCTATGAACTGCTGCATAGCTTCTGTGGGTTAGATGGACTGGTTTAGTCTGGATTGGGTCCAAAAGTTGCCCACTTTAATGATGAGTCTTCTGGCATCATTTTTCCACATGGCTGCATTCTAAGATTTATAAAGCTTTAGCCACAATTGACTATAACAAGATTCCTTCTCCATTATGTGGAGCGATTAAAGCTTTTTAGAAATCCTGGGCTTTTTTCCATGTTGAAATAAGCACATTAGGTAAACTAGTATCCATAAAAGAGCTCTACTGCAACAGTTGTCTGCACTTCTTACTGCTCTTTAGCAGAAATGTTGGTTGAAAAGATTCAGAAACTTGCCTTACATTCAACCTAGCGTTTACCTTAACAGGGAGAAGGTTAAGAGGTAATTTGATCAGTCTAAGTACCTAGATGGAGAGAAATTCTCACAGTAAAAGGCTCTTTAGCAGACAAAAGCATAACCAGATCCGATAGCTGGAAGCTGAAGATAGACAAATTCAGGCTAGAAACTGGCACGCTACCTCCACCCCACCCCACCCTTTTAAAAGTGAGTATTAAACCGGTGAACAGCTTCAGTAGGTGAATGGATTCTCCATCATTTTAAGTCTTTCGTCAAGACTGGGTGGATTTCTTAAGCGATGTTCTACCTTAACCAGAAGGTATGGGCTTAATGTGGGGATTTTTGGTTAGTTCTATGATCTGTGCTA